TAAATATAATATTAATAAATAATAAGAATAAAAAAATTTTTAAAATTATTAAGTCTTAAAGTAAGTGACTTGTATAAGCGATGCTTAAAATGTCTAATTTTATAAATTGTAAAAATATGTCCATTTCTAAGTATTTTGTTTTATTCATTATAAATTGTAAGACACTAAGCGTTAATCAATTACAGTGGAACCTCGATAACTCGAATTTCTATAAGTCGAATTTTCGATATCTCGAAGGAATGCCTTGGCCCCTGGCTTCCGACATATGATATATGTGATAAATTTTCTCTATAATTCGAATTTCTCGATAAGTCGAAGTAATTTTAGTTGAATTTTAGCTTATAACTCGAAATTATATAATAAAATATAACACATACAATGAACATACCTCGATAACTCGAAGGTCAAATAACCAAGTAMATATGTATGTATGTATTATTATAAATAACGATAATCGTAATCGAAAACCGATTAATATTATCAATACTACCTATACTATATTACCTATACTACTTAAAAGGTACAGTTATAAATTCAACGATATATGTAATATGTCTGTAATATGTACGATATAAAGTCTATATCTACGATAAGTTACGTTTATCTTATTGAAAACTTCACAGATAGGTCAAACAATCAAAAATATCTGATTTCTTTAAAAAATAGTTCTTTTATTCTACTTTATTTATTACATTATACTTTTTTTTAAATTTTAATACAATATACATACCTACATAGTACATACATTATTCATTTATTAGTAAATACATAAATAAATAAAATTATAAAATTATAATCTTTGTGTTTTTAAATAAAAAATATTTTCGATAACTCGAATTTTTTGGCAGATTCGAGTTATTGAGGTTTTCCATAAGTCGAATTTTTGATAACTCGAATTTTTTTTTCGCCCCCAACCGATTCGAGTTATCGAGGTTCCACTGTATGTATTGATTGATATATTGGTACGTAAAACCAAGGGTATTCAATGTTGTTTGTTGTTAGCACAACATATAATCTCAAATCTCAAATAACTTTTTATTATAAATTTATATATTATTATTTTGTGTTTATCATTTATTATTATTTTATTTAAAGCAACTTTCATGGTGGTTGGGCGGAACCGCCGGAACCTCTACGAGTTAATGACCAGTGACCACTGGATTAAATACAATACTGTAATTATTAAATTTTAATGCTGATGCTGGCCATTGGGGGGGGGGTACTTGTCCCCTCCCCAGATAAATTATATAAACTTTTAATTTAATAAGTATTAGCTTGATATTAACAAAATAAAACAAATTTTTTAACTTTTTAGATATGAAATAAACATAAATATATACAATGCTATAGGTTACTACTCTATCATATTAACGACACATTATAGGTACCCTCAAAAGATTGTTGATCGCCAATCATTTTCGGTGTTGCGTGCTAGTGTGTTATACGAAATCCTAGTAATAGCAATAATAGCATACTATTATTTATTAACTATTAAGTAGGTATTAATATTGTTGTAGTGATATTATGATATGTAGTATACGTACAATTTACATTTATGATTTATATTCATACCATACATAACATAGAATGAACTTATATAATATAATATTATATTATGCTGTCGTTTGAATAGTACAATAGAACTATAATATTAATCGTTAGGTATGGATCCATAAACATTCAATACCACAGTTATTTTATCAGAAACTTAATGTTTTGACTTCTAATAAACGTATAATTATGATTTTCTAAAATCTGATAATAAAATACACATATATGTACTATGTACTTAGTGTATTCCTTAATTCCTTAATTAAATTCACTTATATCATCTCTTTCGCTACGATTTTCAAATGCAAACAAATAGTTAACAAAGATTAAAAATTAAACCTTAAATG